CAGATGAACAGAGAAAGAAAATATGGTATTTACACGCAGTGGAGTACTACTCTGCCATAAAGAAGGATCAGTTTGAGTAATTTGTAGGAAAATGGATGCATCTGAAACCATATGGTAAAAAAAAAAAAAGAAAGAAACCATATGGTAAGTGAAGTAAAACAGACACAAAAGCCCAAATATTACATGGCTTCTCTTGTATGAGAAACTTGATGTAAATAACATGCAAAATAAAAGATAGACGATAGAAAAAAAGAGAGAAAAGTTATTGTCCTCTAGCATGGATTTGGTTTAAAATGTACCTTGATTTAGTAAAATCTCTTTATGCATAGTATGTGTTTTTTGGCCAACTATCTGGCTGTTAATCTGTGCTAATGATAATTAATCTCATAGACATAACTAAATCTGAAGCTGGCAAAAAAAGCTTTTTGGACAGGAGTGGAAGGAAAGAGGAAAAAAGAACTGATATGCGTTATGGACATTCCCAACAATGAATATAATCATTATATATTGCAAACTTGTACTAAAAAAATCCTAAAAAAAATTTTTAAATCACCATATGGAAATAATCGTTCAAAAAGATAATAATCTTTTAAAATTAGAAAAAAATATACCTCAAAACAGTTGATTTTAAAAATTTTAAAGGAATAAAAATGTACACACAGCTGGGTTGGTGGTGCACACCTATAAACCCAGCACTCATATGGCTAAGGTTGGGTTGTCACAAGTTCAAGGCCTGCCTGGACTACATAATGAGCTCAAAGCCAGCCTGAACTGTACAGTGAAACCCTGTCTCAAAGAAACAAACAAAAAAAAAAAAAAAAAAAAAAGAAAGACCTTAGTTATTTACAAACTACTAACCTGCTTTAAAAAAAAATTGAAAACCTCCACAGCATTTCCTTATATAATGAACTTTGAAAACACTGTATCCATAATATTAGGCAGTCACAAATGACCAGGTACTGTACAATTCATTACAAAAACACTGACAATAAACAAATCCAAGCAATACAACAGCAACAGCTGCAGGTTTAGGACACACGTGGCAGCACATACCTGCAATCTCAGCTCTCTGAGCTAAATTCTGAGCTGAGGCAGGAGGACTGCCAAGTTCTAGCCCAAGCAACTTCGTGAGACCCCATCTCAGAAGAAAATTTAAAAAGGGCTGAGCATAATGGAGCCCAGGGTGAAGGCCTAGTTTCAAACTCTGGTACCACAAAAGAGGAAGGAAGGCAGAAGATATAAGATGGATGTAAACTCTGTAAGATTTAGATTAGATTATATCCTAAGAAAGTGTTGTTTTCCAGAAATATGTGCAGATACAGACACATATAGTACTGCCATTTTCAAAATAAGTAAGTACAGGATACCAGCTAGAAGCAGGACACAACCAAAACGGTCCCCAAGAGCAACAAAAGATTAAACTAAATTTAAAAAAAAAAAAAAAAAAAATTTCCAGCACTAGGGATATAGCCCAGTGGCACAAGTACCTGCCTGGCAGGCACAAGGTCATGAATTCAATCTCTGGTACCAAAAAAAACACTTCCAGGAACCATCTAAAACAAATCATCAAACTTTACTGAGGGACACAAATGATTTGAATAATTAGAGATGTAACACCTTGTTCTTAAATTAGAAATTGAATCTTATAAATGAATCTCCCCTACATGAATCAGTGTACATAACTGAATTCCAAGGGACTTGTCATAAAATAATTCTTAAGTTCATCTACATTAACGAAAGGGTCAGAAAACGTCAAAGAAAACAAGAGGGTCAGAGAGCAAGCAACCAGCAAAATGACACAGAAAAAGCACAGCACACGGAGACTAATGAGACAGAACAGAAAACCTAAAAACAAAACTTATATTCAAGTATTTTACTTATTTATTTTGGAGACAGGGTCTCACTATACAGTTCAGGCCGGTCTTGAACTCACAGCAATCATCCTGCCTCAGTCTCCTGAGTACTGGAATTTCAGGGATGCGCTACACACCTAGTCTTATATCTGAATAGTAAATGTAGAGTGAAAATAGTGTTTTAGACAGAAGGAAGACCTGCAAGGTCATTCAATGATTGAGACCCACACACAACCTGTTAGGATAAACTAACCTAGAGGCTGAGGGTTTAGCTCAGCAGCATAAGTGCCTGCTTGGCAAGTGCAAGGTCATGAGATCAATCCCTGGTACCCAAAAAAAAAAAAAAGAAAAGGAAACGAAAAACTAACCTTTCTCAGCATGCTATCAAAGGCCAAAAACCAAACACAAAGAAAAAGACTGACAGTTCTGACAAACCAACATTTTAAAACTTAGGTACACACACACACACACACACACACACACAAAAAAAAAAAAAAAAAAAAAGATAAAAGGGCTGGGGATTTAGCTCAGCGGCATAAGCAACTGCCTTGCAAGCAGGTGGTTGTGAGTTCAATCCCCAGTACCGATTTAAAAAAAAAAAAAAAACAAAAACCTTAGGTACACAATATAAACTATACACAGTAGCCAAAGCACGCAACCTGCATGACACAGTACAAGGACAGCATCGGGACCATCAGGACTTCTTCCTAACAGGGATCCGTCTGCCATAAAGATAAAGGATGACAATCACTCAGCATCACGGGCAGCACAGAATGGTTCTGGAAAGAGCAAAGGCGGCACTCCAAGGCCAACAGTCTCACCTGCACCATGAAAGAAGCACTTCTCAGCCCTTGAGCAGTGACCCAAGAACCCAAGGCCACCAAAGGATGAGGCTGGGGGCACCACTGCCCTGCTACCTCAGCACAGCCAGACCCTCAGCCAGATTATCAGCTTCCACTTCTGCTAAAGCTTATATTTGGATGTCCCCCAAAGCCTCAGGCAGTCATAGTGGGGCTTTTTTAGAGGTGGCTGGATCTAGAGTGTGGGAGGCTGTGATTGATTCAAGGTGCAGTGCTAGGATCAAGAACACGAACACAAAGGGTGTGGGTGCTACCTGCTCTAAGTAGTCTGGGTAAGATATAAGGCACAGAAAAACTGTGGTTGTCCCTTGGTGCTTTGCTATGTTCTTCCTACCATCGACTGTTTCTCTTCTGCAATGCCTGTCTGCCATGCCACCTTGCCTTGGAGCCAGCCAACTATGGACTGAAACCTCCACAAACTGAGCTAAATAAACCTTTCCCCCTCTAACTTTGGGTGTTGAGTTTTTCGTCTTCACCATGAGAGAAAAGTAACTAATAAGACAACTTCTCTGTAGCTGGCCCACCAGACCCCACCTCCAGTACAATAAAGCACAAGGTCCGCAGTGGACCCTCAGAATTCAAATCTTAGCTGTATACCCACTAGCCATGTGAGCTGGGGCAAGTTACTCCACCTTTCAGTGCTGTGCCTCAGCTCCCCAAACCGTAACGTGTGGCAGGTGACAACTCACCTTCTGCAGGGAGGCTACTACAGTGACTAGGTTAGTCACGTCCTTTTAAAAATCATTTGGAGAAAGGCTAAGATACAAAAAGTGGGCGAGATACGGTGATGCACACCTGTGATCCCAGCACTCAGGAGGCTGAGAAGACACACCAATAGTTCAAGGCCAGCCTGAGCTATGTAGGAAGCTTAAGGTCAGCCAGGACTACACAGCAAGACCATATCTCAAAAAACATAAAGCAAATAGATGTGTATACACAATCTATACAATACAGATGGGAGAGATAAGCAATCAACCAAGACTAAAAAGGAAGAAGGAGAAGTAAACATAGTGACAATTAAGATGTGCTATGTAGATGCACCAACACCCCATGACGAATGTAATCATTTTGTAATGCAAACATATACTAGCAAAAATAATGAAAAAAATAAAGACTGAAAAGGAGCTTGTTCTACCTAAGTGAATTCCAAAGGCTCACAGACAATCCTGTGACTAGAAGCAAAAGGAAAACTCAGCACACACAGCCCAACCACACAGGTGTGCATGCCAGAAGGGCCCCTCAGTCCCTCACACACAGGCCCCCGCACCCCCACATCCCATGAGGCACACAATGCTGCCACAATCTACTGTGCGGAACCACAAGCATACAGCAGCTCCGAACCCTTGCAGTGGAGCTGGATGTCAGTCCACAAGCCTGCCCAAGTGCTGCTCCACAGCCTGGTGAACACGGCTACTATGTTCCTTCCCAAGTTTACTGCCAGGAGAACCTGTTACTTTGTAGTTACAAAAATATTATTTTAACCAGTTAAAAAAAAAAAAAGGTCAAATATAAATAATGAAAAACAGCAGGGATTTAGCTCAGTGGCATAAGTGCCTGCCTGGCGAGCGCAGGATTGTGAGTTCAATCCCTTCTACAAAAAAAAAAAAAAAAAGAAAAGAAAAACAAACAAAATTACTCCCCCTACTAAAGTAGTAAAGCCAAGCCTCAATATCTCCATCTGTAAAAGGGAAGGGGCAAAGCCCTCCTTCGCTACTGTCGGAGGGACAGGATGACTTCTGTGAAGCACTCAATCCTGTGTGATTACTACCAGAGAAGCAACCAGATATAATCTACACACCAGCAGAGATGAGCACCCTAAAGGGAAACAAGAAGTAACTCAGACACACACATGCATAACCCAGAGTGACGCTTATACCTCAAGCCCCCATCACAGTTCTACTAAACCCAACTGACCAGACCTACTGTCAAACAAGACATGGCACTGTGAAACTTGCTCACCTTTTTTTTTTTTTTTCTTTTTTTCTGTACTAGGGATTGAACTCAAGGCTTTCACATGGAGCTACATCTACAGCCACTTTTTAATTTGGGAAAGAGCTCTGACAAGTCACTAAGTTGCCCAGGATGGACTGGAACTTTCAATCCTTCCTGCCTAAGCCAACAGTGCTGGAGATACAGCTGTGTGCCGCCACATCTGGTTCCTTTTTTTTTTTCATCTGGTTCCTCTTGACACCTTCAGCTGGCTGCCCACACACAGATGGCAGCATGGTATATAAGGCACCTGTGGTCACCTGTAAATGAACTATCATAATTATCAGCTGATGCTTACCAAGGTGTGGGTCCAACAGATGAGGCTGCTCCTGGTATTTGTCCATTATTACTAAAAGAAAAATAACATGAATATCAACTATTATGCCATATGTGAGCCCAACCAGACCCCACTCTATTTAACACACAGGGCAGTTCCTCTTTCCAGCTTTTGCAACTGCTAGGCGCATGCTGCACCTCTGGATGAGATGACAGGTGCCACACAGGCCCCCATAGCAGAGCACCCACCACTCCTCCAGCATCCTGAGAGCCACTGTGGCTTGGGCTCTTGTGCCTCACTTGATCGGTGTCATCTTCCTCTTGGATCCTCTCTTCCCACCTCCTCTGAGCCCTTCCTTTCTCCCTCCCTAACTGGATCCTTTCCTCAGTCCTTCACCTGCAATTCCTACTTCCCCTTGTCATTCTCTCTTCTTCTACTCTTTGGCTGCTGCCCTGTGACTTGCCAACTCTTCAAACCCATAACCCTACCAGCCCCTGAACCCCGGACTATCTGCTTTTACTTTTACTTTTAAAAGCAACTGAAACTGCTTCTGTCCAAAAATGACCTCTCTGCCTGTGCAGTTCTCACATGCCACACATCTCCTACCATACCTTATCACACTAACCACTTCCCAAGAATAAGAAATGGTGCTCCCTTGTCCCTAGGTAGTATTTGCCAGGCCCTCAAAGTCCATGCACTGGTGCTGTTATTATTGACCAAAGAATCCAGAAGAAACTGACTTTCTGGACAAATACAGGTTCAAACCTAGGAGTGAGAGACACCACCAGGCCCAACACCCTAGAGTCAGAGCACCATGACTCCAAAACAAGGAAGACAAAACTGTGTAGAAAGCCTGGTATTTAATGGGCAATTGCTACACCAACACACAATGTGGAGAATACTTCTGATGGGGTCAGGAGCTTCAACCCACAACCCCATCACCTCCCTGTTTCAGGCATGTTCATGCTACTCATCCTGAAGCCAGAGCCGGACACTGAAACCATGTCCCTGAGCCCAGATATACATGGGAAAGCACAGCTATGCAGAAAGGGACACACACCACTCTAGGGTGAGGGATAACTAAGCAATAATATTTTTAAAAACCTTGGGGGCTGGGGATTTAGCTCAGCGGCATAAGCGCCTGCCTTGCAAGCAGGCAGTCGTGAGTTCGATCCCCGATAAAAAGGAAAAAGACCAAAAAAAAAAAAAAAAAATCTGTTGAGACATCAGATGAAAAGGTCCACAAATATAGCTTTACTGAAATACAAAACTTTCACTATATCAGGGCTCGCAAGAAATTACCCATTGTAAGCAAATGTAAACGCCTGGACTGACCGAGGACCTGCGCGAACACCGCCCAGTCCTGCCCAGCCTGCAGACGCAGTCCCCGCCCCACGTGGTGCAGAGTGAAGAGCCACAGGCTGGTCCTGGAGCCGGGAGACCGCACCCCGAGCACCGCTAGCTGTTGCCTTTCCGGTCTCACGCCCTCCCTATCCACACACAGCGGCCCATGGGTTCTGGACCGAGGGAATAAAGGGGTCAAATCGCCGCCGCGCAGCCCGGCCAGCGCGCACCGCGGAACCGCTCCTGCGCCACCTCCCGCGCCCGGCGCTCGCCGTGCACCGCCTGCAGGCGGCCGAACAGAGCGCGGGTCTCCTCGCTCTCGCCGAACGCTTCCAGGGCAGTGCCGTGAGCTGGGGCGTCTTCCTCAGCTTCTTCCTCGGCGGTGTTCACGGCGGGATCGTAGCTCAGCGCCATCCCAGCGTGCACGTCGCTCAGAACCAAAGCAGCTTTCGGGACTACACCTCCGGGAGTCTTCACCTAGCAGCCAACAGCCCCGCCACGCCACGCCACGCCCCACGACCTCCCACCAGCTACGGAAAGCACCAGCTGCCAAAAATTCCCACACGGGGTCGCTGCCGCGGAAGGAGAACGCATGCGCAATATAACCCTAAACGAGGAGGAGGCGGAGCCCTCAACAATCATTGGACCCGAGTGAGAAGGTGGAGTCGGTGCAGAGGCGGGGCCTGAGCTCCAGTTGGGGGCGAGTCTGTGGGGCGGGGTTGACTCCAGAAGGGCGGGGCAAGGCGGGAGAATCCCCGGATTGCCTCTCGCCTGGCATACAGCCCTCAAAGTCCTGAGGAGTGAGCATCGGTTGGTCAGAGGGAGGGGACAAAACAAGCCTTGACGACAAGAAACAAACCAGTACAAGGTCCCACAGTTCTCTCCTAAGGTGATAAAATCTCTTAAAGGGTGACCAGGAGGAGACCTAAAAATAAATCTAAGTGCAGAGGGAACTTTGAAAGCCAGGAAAAGAGAACGCCACAATGCATCTAACAGAGCTGGTGATGAACATATTGTCAGTGGAAGGCAGAGGCTGAGCTGCGCTGAACTAGCATACACCAAGTTTAAGATACACAGTCAGCGGGGAAGGAGAGAAAAGCAGAGGCAGAGCAGCGACGTTTTTGAGACTTCCACTGTCATTTTGCAACAACATTTTGCAGCAGAGTAAGTGGTATGCTCACTCCCAGGCGCCAGGCAACTGCCGAGTCCTGAGGATAAGGCGACATCCTTCCAGCATCTGTTTCTTTAATTTTTGCATTACAGATACATTTTTATACAGAAAATAAAGTGATCATTTTCTCTTAACGACCAGGATGACATATGACTGTACAAAACACAAAATAAAGAGACATAGGTATCTTAAACTGAGGATAATCTAACAAACGTTGCTTGCAAGGTGAGGACAGGTTTGGCCTCAATCCACTGAGAGAGAACCAAGAGTCCCTGTCCTTCAGGTCCATGCCCCTTCCTCTAGTAAAGGGTCCCCTGCCCAAGATCTTCCTGATGTTTGAGCCCTGTCCAGGGTAACTCCTCATGAAAAGAAGCTGCTAGGGACCCTGCTAGGGGAGAAAGGGATCTGGTCAAATGGGCAGGCCTAACTGTTCCCCATAGGAGCCAGAGGTCCCATAAACAACTGTTCTTCACGGGTTAGGCCATGGTGACTCAGGCTGGAGGACTTCCCCCAGGGTCACAACTCTGCACATACTGCACAGGTGACCCCACACTGAGGCAGCCAGTCCTGCGTGGTGCAGCAATGGGTGCAGGGCCTGTTCCCAGATCCAGGTCCCTGCTGCCCTTCCTCTGGATGCCCTGCCGGTGTGATCTGCCCCACAGGTGGTCACCAGCCCCCTATCTGCCCCAGCCATGAGGGAGCCAGTGCCATGGGGGGACAGAAGAGAGTGACATGGCATGCAGCAACTTTATTAGGTGAGCAGCTTGTGCATGGTCCCCAGGGACGGCCTCCGGTATTCCAACCCGAAGTGATTCCAGTGGTTCAAGTAGTTGAAGAGCTGGTACAGCAGCTGCCGCCGGTCGAAGCCCGGGGCCTTGGGGAGTTTCTTGTGGTAGGCAGTGAAAAAAGACTTGGGGAACCCCCCAAACATCAGAGAGATCGCCAGTTCAAACTCGGAATGGCCATAAAAGCAAGCCGGGTCGTATACTATGGGCTCCTCGTTGTTCTCAGCCACATTTCCTGCCCAGAGGTCCCCATGGAGCAGGGCGGGCACAATCTCCAGGCCATGGAACATGTCTGGAATCTTTACCTGGAAAGGCAGGTGTTGCACAGAATTACCTTGGGACTCAAGCACCTTGCTATGAGTGACAATAAGCAAAGACAGCCATCAGCTGGCTCAGCATTTAGCCCCAGCACTGTTTACCAGCCCCAGCGGTCAGGGCGCCTGGCTAGACGGGTGTGACTTGTCCAGCTTGCCTTTTACCCCAACTTCATTTAGAAACTGTATGGACTGATTAATAACTTCACGCAAGAAAGAACCTGAGAAGTTATTTTATCATCCTGCAGAACACGAGCCAGTTTTGAACCTAAAAGCCAATCTACCATCTATTTCACTGCACATACAGTATGTTTCCCACCTCTTATATCCTGCTAGTTATTTCACTAACAAAATTCCACTGATGCCTGTGCACCTTGCATCAACACACAAATTCTGTGCCTAATCTGTTGAGTGTTATAATTTAAAACCACTCATTCTGGGACCTACCTCTTCACTACAGTTGACACATTCATGTTTTAGCAAAGGAAGAAGTGAGAAGAGTGGGCAGGTGTCACTCGTAATGAGACAAAGTGTAGTGGAGGCCACCACTCATGATCCCAGCACCTGAGAAAAACTTCAGCTGAAACATCTGGTTATCCAACAACTAGAACTGCAACTGTGGAGTAACTGGGTCATTATGTGTCCCTAAGTGGACCAGCTCTACTCCAGGGATAAGAACCCCATGAATGTTGTGGGATGTGCCAGCACAGCCTATTTCCAGAGAAGCAGCAGCTGTGCCCACCTGTAGCTTAGACCAGAGTTCTCTTGCCTCCCGGTCAGCGTAGTCCTTCTCAATGAGGTCCAGCTGTGCTTGTAGCCGATGCCTGGTGAAGAAGGTCGGCCAGTCATCCTGCCAGTCATTCACCTGAGGAACAAGAGGCCAGTGCTGCAACTCAGAGCCAACCTGTCTGACCCCATAGTAAGCACTAGAGGACAGGGCAAAATATACCTAGCAAGCCAGTAGAGAAAATAAATTAATCATAAAATACCCCAAAACAAGGAAGATAAAAAGGAAACAAGACAAAAAGGAGCAAGTAAATAAGAGTAAGATGATAGACTCAGACCCAAACACATCAGTATGCACATTAAATGCAAATGATCAGAAATAAATTTCTAATTAAGTGACAGAGGTTAAGAGATTAGAAAAATAAAGCAAAAGCCAACTCTAAATTGTGGGCAGAAATGTACTTTATATACAAAAGTAGATTAAAAGGATTGAAAAGTTGTACCATTGCTAAAACTAGTCAAGCTGGGCACAGTGCACACGCCTGTCATCCCAGCATGTGGGAGGCAAAAGCAAGAGGATCCCCAAGAGTTCAAGGCCAGCCTGGGCTACAAAGTGAGTTCAAAGCCAGCCTGAGCTACACAGTGAAAACCTATCTCAAAAAAAATAAAGGGAAAAAACCCTAAAACTAGTCAAAAGCTAGAGTAGCTATATTAATATAAAAAAGCTGATTTCAGAGCAAGCAGTATCACCAAGTGAAACAGTCACAATGAAAAGAGGTCAACTGAGGAAGAGGACATACTAATCCTAAACATTTATGCTTCTAATAACAAAGTTTAAAAAATACATGAAAATAAAACTGACAATTACAAGGAAAAATAGATCAGTCCACAATTATGGCCCACTATAGCTGAGTTCTGTCCTGCTGCGGAATCCATATGTTGAAATTCTGACAAAAAAGGTCCCTTTTCCCATCCTCATCGCAGTCCAGGAAGTTTAGTTTTGTAATCCCATGGAAATATTATTGCAGTTCTGGTGAGTTAATTTCAATCTATTACCTCCAGTGCAACCCATGATGAGAATAAAGACCCTATTTTATAGTTAAGGGTACCCAATGTCCAACCCAGATGAGGAGGGTTCATGGAACAAAGGCCTCGACCCAGAGTCTACCCCAGATTTTATCCATGAAGAAGGGAGTGGCTAAAGGATGAGTGACTGTGAGAATGGTGGGAATTACATGAGTACTATGAGCTGAACTAGGTAGGAGGCCTGAAAACAACTCTCAATATGCAGAGAGAAGGGTATGCAGAAAGACCAATCTTTAATGTTTAGAAAGCTGGTGCTTCAGTTCTAATGTGCAAACCTTTCTGCCCTGGGAAATCATAGTTTTTTATCTCAAGACTCAAACCCAGTTGATAGCTCTGGAACTGTGTGGCTCTGCCATCCCATTGCACTCTACCATTTAACGGGAGACACTGAGGCAAGGAAACAGGACTGTCATCTGGCTTCAAAGATTACACATCAGTACCTCAGCTAGCCCTATTTACATTGCTTAGCACCAATTGAAGAGCAAAGGAAATAATGTAGCCAGCCCTGTACATATCAGTACTTGGAGACAGGGACAGGTTTAGCCAAAATGGAGATAATTGGGCTGGGGATTTAGCTCAGCAGCATAAGCGCCTGCCTTGCAAGCAGGCAGTCGTGAGTTCGATCCCTGGTACCGATAAAAAGGAAAAAGACCAAAAAAAAAAATGGAGATAATTGCTGTGTATTTAAGGAGAGCCAGCCAGGTGGTCTTCTACACCTAACCCCCAAAGTGATTCTCTTTAGAGATAAGAGCTTCAGGAGGCAGTCAGGGTTAATTGAGATAAGAGTGAAGTCCTAATCTGGCAGGATTAGGAGCCTTATAAAAAGGAAGATGGAAGATTTTTCTGTCTCCTCACATATGCACACACATTAAGAAAATCTATGAATGTGACCATCTTGCCGGCCAGGAAATAGGCCCTCACTCAGCATCAAATGGGCCATGGGCCACTATCAGAGTCCAGACTGTACAAGGCTTAAATTGCTGACAGAAGGGACCGCTGGCTGTGTTGGAAAGCCTCATATTCATAGTGCTGTGAAATTCTAGAGCAGGAAAATTTTTAACCTTAGAGATCAAACATTCTCTTAATTGGTAATACTTAGTCTCTTTGTTTCGCAAGGCCCTGGTCATTTTTGCAGGCTTTTGCCTCTGACATGCCCTCTTCTTGCACCCCCTAAACTGTGAAAACCCAATAAATACAGTGATCCTGAAGAGTGTTTGTATTTACTCCCAGAGAGTTTTCTTCTTCCTGGATTCCCCAAAACTATACTACTTGTCTCTTATTTAAGCCTTTGCCATACATTTGTTTTAGATTGGGGGCTACACAAAGTCTCTAATGGGCTGCAACCTTGAACTTACACTGCCCAGACTTTAGAAATGTGAGAAATTAACCCACCAACTCTGTAGTATTTTATATGGCAGCCCTAAAATTAAAGAAGGTTGGAGATTATCTTTCAATAATAGATAGAAAAATAGGCAGAAAAAGCATGCAGATTTCAATACTATCATTTAACTGGAACTGGTTAGCATTTATAGGACACTCTAGCCAACAAGAGCTGTATGTTTCAGGTGGATATGGAGCATTTACCAAGATAGATCATGTTCTGGACCCTAAAAATAACTGAAAAGGAAATTTAGTCCTATATATAACTTCAGAGTATACTGTATAACCAACATAGAATTATATTATCAATAGAAAGACCTCTAGGAAATACCCAAGTATTTGAAAACTAACATTAGAAAAGAACTCACCAGGTAGAGAGATACACACCTGTAATCCCAGCACTCAGGAAACGTATTGGATATTAATGAAACAGAAAACAAAGAAACAAGAGACAAAATCTGTGTACAAAAATGTGGTTCTATGAGAAGTTCAGTATAACTGATAAACTTTTAGCCAGACTGACTAAGATAAAAAGACAGAAGATACATTGCCAGTATTAGGAATGAAAGAAGTGACATCAATACACAGTATACAGATTTAAAAGGATAATTTAAAAATATTTTAAAAACTTGTGCAGAGATTTGACAATTTAGATCAAATTGATAAATTCCTAGAAAGACACTAGCAAAGCTCTGTCAAAAATAAATAATGTGGGGGTGGGGATTTAGCTCAGCAGCATAAGCGCCTGCCTTGCAAGCAGGCAGTCGTGAGTTCGATCCCTGGTACCGATAAAACGGAAAAAGACAAAAAAAAAAAAAAAAAAGAAACAATGTGGCTGGGTATGGTGATTTACCCCATAAACCCTGCACTCTTGGAGCTTGTGACAAGAGGATTGAAAGTCTGAGTCCAGCCAGTGCCACTTAGCAAAATAGAAAGAACCTATCTCAAAATTTAAAAAATAATTATGGGTAGGAGGTGGCTCAACGGGATGGTCCTGGATTCAACACCCTATACTCTGAAACAACAGTAATAATAATAACGACAACAACAATTTAATAGCTCTACATCTATTAAAGAAGTTGGATTTGTAGTTTACATCTTCCCATAAAGAAAATTCTAGATATAGATGGCTTCACTGTGAACTCAACAAATATTTAAAGAAAAAAATACCAATTTTATGTAAACTTCCAGAAAAGTGATGAAGAATATATCTCATCTCATCCTTTTGGCCAGCATTACTCTTAAACCACAACCAAAGACACTATAAGAAAACTACAGAGGAATATCTCTAAGCATAAACACAGACATTCTAAAGCAGAAGTTCATTGAATAGAATCCAACAATTGTATAACAAAAATAATGCAGCATAACCAGGAGGAATATTTCTTAAATGATATAATTCACCCATATTAAACTCAAAAAAGAAAAGTCATATGATTACCACAAGAGATGAAGGAAAAGCAGTTGACAAAAATCAAACAAGCATTCTTGACAAGAACTCCCAGAAAACTAGGAATAGAAGGGAAGTTCTTTAGTTAAGTAACACCTAAGAAAAACCTCCTGCTAAGCTCTGATTTAATGGTAGAAGAATGAATCCTTTCCCCCTAAAATGAAAAAAGTCAGATGTCCACTTTACTACTTCTGTGGAACACTGTACCAAAGGCTCAAGGAAAATTAATTGAAGGTATATGAATTGGAAAGAATGAAGTAAAACTGTCTTTAATAGTAAATGTCATCATGTATGCAGAAAATCTGACAAAAATTTTTTTTAAATCTAGGCTGGGGAGCACATGCCTGGTATGCATGAGGCCCTGCATTCAGTGCTTAACCCCACTTCTATGCACACACACACACACACACACACGCACACAAACACACACACACACACACACAAGTATGGGTCTAAAAAAAGCACCAGAACTAAGTAAAATTAACAAGGTTGCAGGATACAAGGTAAGTATACAAAAATCAACTTTTAAATATTAATTATGTTTCTATAGACTGGCTGCGTCCCCCAAAACAAGCCCTGATACTTCTCTTTTTTTTGTCCTTTTGAGATAGGATTTCCTTGTGCAGTTCAGGCTGGCCTTGGACTCACTTTGTAGCCCAGGTTGGCAGGGACAACAATCCTCCTGTCCCAGCCTTCCAATTGCTGAGATTACAAGCAAATAATTAATTTGTTTTGAAAAGTCATTTCCATAGCATCACAAAACATGAAATATTTAGGGATAAATGTGACAACAGATGTGAAAAGACGTGTCGCCAAAACTGATGCAGAAGGATCAAAAGTTGAAGCCCAGCCTGGACAACTTAGCAATTTAGACCAAAAAAACCTGAAACAATGCTAAGAGAAACTGCAGAAAACCTAAGTAAATGGAGGGAATGTAACATTTTTATATATAAGAATTATCTATTATTAATATGATAATGTTCCCAAATTAATTAATTATTGCATAGGTTAATTATGCAATAATTGATGCATAGATTCATTGCAATCCCAATGAATCTTACCCTTTTGTTTAAGGAAAATGACATGAAGAGTTCACGAGAAAATGGAAATCCATGTGTGTATCATGACGTGGACTTTTCTATATGCAAGAGTTTCAGAATATTTACGGTAAGTGAAAGGGGCCAGACAAAAACAACATGCTTTGTGTCTGCCCTTTTACTGAATTCCATAAACACAAAGGATCAGCAGCTGTCTGGGAGCAAGAGTGGGAGGGAGAAGGAGATCACCAGCCAGTGAAGCAGGCGATCCTGCTCTCATAGGACTGTGGCCGAGTGGTTCATGGTACGTGAGTACCAACTGTACACTTTAAATAGAGAGATTTGGGCAGCTACACCTCAGTGGAGAACACAGGCTAATGTTATTTGAGGTCACCCAGGGAATCCCCCAGGAGGGAACTTTGGAGAGCACTCAGCCCCTAGTAGGCAATCTGAGAGACTTGGTCAGAACTCCTCCTGTAGAAGCCCTATGGGCTGGGCACGGTGGTCACTTGGCACTGGACTCACCCCCTAGTGCTACAGATACTTCAAGGGCAGGATGAGATGCCCCTCACCACAGCATGACAGTGAGACCCTCAAACTGAATCTACCCCTGTGACATTCCCCATTTGTCTGCCTGGGCTCCCAGTGCCTCAGCTCTGTCCTCCTGCTGGAGAGGACAAGTCCCAAAAGGCACAGCTTCCAAGCTAGAAGCAGGAAGTCAGGACCAGCACCCAGTCCCTCCACCTCTGCAGAGGGCCTGTGGTCGGCACACCCACAGAAAGGTTTAGCCACCCCCTGGGCTTCCATGGGCAGCTGCCACCTGCGCCTTATCCTAACAGAAGGGTAGGATCATGCAAGAGCAATGACCCACACTGTGAGGCTGGTCCTCTACTGTCCAGCTGCCTGGTCAGGGGTATCCCTTGGCCCTGGGCATTGGTTTCCTCAACTCTAAGGCAGATGCATAACATCACTCACATCGTTGCTAGCTGTGGCTGCTGGTGAGCTGAGCCATGCAAAATGCTTGGAACAGTACCTCCCATCAGTAGGGCATAAAGTGTGTCAGTTGCCACAGCTGACCAGCCTGGCAATCCCCACATGGCTCAGTTGGTGCTCTACATGTCTAAAAAGCCCACACTTCTATGTGGCCAGCAATGGCTGCAGTGCCTTCCAGGACTCCTCTGAACTCCCAGCAGTAAAAAGTCCAGAACTTGGCCTGCGCAGGACACTCTTGCGGCTCAAAGAAGGTGGACAGGTTTACCCAGGTTCTGGGGTCCTCCTGGCTGTGCTGCTGCTAATCTGAGCTAGTGCTCAGTTCCCTGCCAAGAACTCCATCCCCTATCCACCATGCCACTCCCAACACACAGAGTGATTCCCAACTGCCCCTCTCCCCAGGCCCTCCGAGCTCAGCTCAGCGGACCCCCCCACCTCCTGCCCTTGTGCCACATTCCCATCTGCCTTCAGAAATCTAGTGGCCAAGCTTACTGGTCACCGGAAGTCTGTCCCACTAGGGGTCCTGTGGAAAGCACAGAGTATCAGGAACCAGGCACCAGTTAAGCAGGGATGTCCTCAGCAGGTACTCACTTGCTGGATGAAGCCACAGAATGTCACAGTGTGGAAGCCGAACTTAGACACATATTGGCACCCAGCATCCTCAGCTCTGCAACCTATCAAAGAGACGTTGTGCTGAGCGTTGCTTGCGTCTTCTGGAATGCCAGACCTCATACAGCACCAGTGTGGGCCTGGGCAGCTCAAGAACACAGCAGCTTGAGGAGGAGCTCCCCTGGGGTTATGATGAAGAGCTGAAATACAGACCTGCCCAGACACTGCTTGGGGCAGGTGGCCCACAGGGTAGGCCTTGAAGCTCCATGAGCCAATCCCACTGGTTTATCAGCTCCATGCAAATTCTTAAAAATCTTGTTTCCATAATACGGGATAGAGGGGGATGTGTGCTGCTCAACCTAGGGTTGAAATGCTACCGAGAAATAGGTGGGCTGAAGTCAGAGGAGCCACAGGGTCAGAGCTGGGGACAGGCCAATCTGAACGCACCCACAGTGTTTTCCTTCTCTTTCAGCTTCTCTCTGAGCTTCTGATTGTAAAGGTGCAAATCTGCCATTTGCTCCCCAAGCTTTGATGCCTGCCTGAGGACAAAAGAAATGCAGCCAATTAAAGCTACAAACAAATCATCAGCACCCTGAGTGTTCCATTATAAAGATCTTCAAAGCTACTCTCCATTCTTTAAAAAGTAGAGAATGAACACCCAGACCCTTTCCAAAGAACAAAATGGCAAAGTCAGGCAAGAAGCCAGCAGCAGGTCTCTGCAGATGGCTCAGAGAGCCTGGCAAGGCAGAGTAGAGGGAAGAGCAGCTCCCTGCTCTGCAAACAAATGCAACCAGGAGCAGGAAAACAAGATGATGATTCAGGGACCACTTGAATCTTGCTGACAAATTGCTGGAAGCCAGATGTCTTCTCTACCCAAGTTTACACTTTGCACATTTTATACAATTATGCATGACTTTAATGTTTAAAAATGCAAGACTCCAGACAGCTATGAGATCAGCTTCCTTCAGCCCAAAACAGAGCTGACATTGGTGCCTGGTAAAGCACAAAGCAAGGGGTGAGTACAGACATGCTCATTCTATACAGCTTCACAAGAGCTAGACCAAAGCAGCAGCCATTTGTGCTCTGTAAAAATGGTCCCTAGTAAAAAAAAAAAAAGCAAAAAACAAAACAAAAAAAAAAACGGTCCCTAGTGCTGGACCCAGGGGGCACACACACCTGTAATCCCATCTACTCAGGAGACTGAAGCAGGAGGGTCACAGACTTAAGCCCCGCCTGGGCACCTTAGACCCTGTCTTAAAAAATAAATACATGAAAAAGGAGTAGGAGTGCAGCTTCGTGTGAAGGGCCCAGTCCATGGAGACAAACCTATGGCCCATGTGCTGCAGTGGGCATGCAGAGCGGCCCAGCACCAGCGTTTAGATTTAATTGCAATAAATAATTGGTTGGCACTCTGCAATAAATAATTGGTTTTGGGGTGCAGTTTGGGCACTCAAAGTTAGGGTTAGGGTTAGGAGTCCTGGAACAAAAGAAAAGAAAAAGGAAAAGAGAGGCTTCTGGGACCAGGCCATTGAGCAGACAGCTCAGCAGGGTTGCTTCCCATCTCTTTGTGTCCCTCTCTCTGTCACTTTTGCCCTCTGTCTCTTTCCCAGACTCTTTCCCCCTGTATGTGTCTGTGTGGACCCTTGTGTGGGTCCCTCTCAATCTGTGTGTCTCTATGTGGGACATACATGTGTATCCAGCATTGTGTGTCTCTCCACGTATGTACACGCGTGTGCCCCTTGTTCACTCCCACTCACCTGTTCAGACTCTTCATCTTCAAATGTTCCATCACAAAGGCGGCCCCACCTTTTGGCAGATCAATGACTTTTATAGGTCGAGGTACGCGCACCAGGCCTGTGCTGCGCAGAGCCTCCAAGCTCGCCATCTCCCCCTCAAACATCTGCCGGGCCTGCGTCCAGAAAGCTACATGAACAGGTCAGCTCTGCAAACTCCCACTCCAATGGGGTACCCTGCCAGCCAGGCCAAGCTACTTGTGACTCTTGATAAAAGACACCATGTGGGAATCACAAGCCCTGGGAGGCCTCAGCCTCCGGGGGAGGGGTGTACAGGGGATTGTGGGGCAGGACAATGTGCCTTACAGCAATTGTGCTGTGCTATGTGCTATGCTATGGCAGTGAGAGGCCAAGCCAGAGGGTACCAGGTAGAGCTAACCAATAGTTCTCCTGATGCCCACTTCCGCACTGCTCCCTAGTAAAGTGGACAGGGCACAGAAGAAGTAACAGGACACAAGTTCTGATTAGGGAAGGCTGAGCTGAGGTGTCTGCTAGGCCATGCCAGAGAACTGAAAAAGAGAGATACATCCTTTTCCCTCCAAAGCCTCCACTAGGACCCAGGATCTTCCTGAGACAGAAAAGAAGGGCTTGATGCTCTCCAAGACGAACTTTTTATTTTTTCTTTCTTCCAAGGCTTCCCTGAACACCTCAGAACCATCCCAGGATATCAGAGCCTTCACAGCTGCTCCTGGAGGCATCTGCTTTGGCTGTAGCAGGCTTTAGTTACAATGTCTCCACCCTGAAGCACTTCCGGATAACTCTGTCCAACCTTGGTTAGATTCCTGAGCAGACCTTCCCCTAGCAAAACTAAACAGAAAACCTGACATGGCAAGCCCATCTTTCTCTTCCCTTATACCGTGCTCAGGTCAGTCCCTGAAGTCCTAACAGAGACTCCTCCACATGGCATCTTCTTGCCTACTCATGATTTCCATCTTAAATAGAACAGCTTGAATTGATAACAACAAAGGGCACTGGCACCAAGAGTGGTCCACAGCCCAGGCTGGTAACACTGATGGTCCCTAGGAGCCAGAAAACAGAGAAAGCAGCAGAGAACTGCCAGGTGCTGGCATCCCTGGCTGTAGAAGAGTTACTGAGGCCTTCTGGCAGTGCTTGGTTCAGCTGTCAGCAGAGTGAGTAATAGAGGGCCACTGTCGCCATGAGCTGACGGCTGCTGGCATCCACAGCTCAGTGCTATTTTAACAGTAAAAGAGCCACATTTTGCCTAACCAGGATTTCTACCTAAACTGAGCAAATAAAGCTCTAACCAACTGGTAAGAAACATGCACACTAGTTTTCTGGAGCACTGGCACAAATATCCCAATTTTAGATTAGGTGAACTCTCACCTTCGATGATGCTTTGGTGAAAGACATGCATTTATGAATGTGGTTTGTGAAGACTCCTACATATTGAATCGCAAAACAAAGTAAAGCTTGTGGATGAGACCAGAGCATCTACTACCATGCAGGAAAAGAACTCCACTCATTAACTCAAAGTACCCCAGGGGAAAATCAGGCACAGCATCCTCAACCTGCCAACCTGCCTCGGAGTTGTGAAGTAGTGCCAAATATCCTTGAGGTGGGAAGGCACCCCTGGATCCTAGCCAGACTCCCAGGATGAACCTCCAAACTATGGAAGCAGACAACACACAAGATTCAGACTGTATCCCAGCACACAGGAGGCTGAGGCAGGAGAATCGCTGTGAGTATGAGACCTGCCTTAGCTACAGAGCAAGACCCCATCTCAAAAAAAAAAGATTCAGGCTACTTACATCACTTGCTCCCACATCTAGGCATAAAGGTGGAGCAGTCAGCTGGGACTAGATTCTAGTCTGAAATCAGGTGCTTTCATGATTCCCTAGGCAACAATGCCAGGAACCCAGGGCAGGATGACCCCAACCCCACTGCACTGTGACTCATCCCGATGGCAGTGCAGCCAGGACACTGGAGACTACCACTCTGGGCTTCTTTCCTCCTCCACGGCCAGCAACCACCCCCCTCCACTGCTGGACAACTGCCCACCTGGACCAGGCCCTCTGCCCACAGGCCACAGGGCCTGCTTTGCCCACATAGATTCTGGGTCAGCAGCTGGTCTGCTCTCTCAGGGTAAGGCTGGCTTCCTTTATTTGTGTCAGTGCTTAAACTGACACTTAAACTGACACAGCCTTGAACAGGACCGAGGTAAGTGGGCCCAGGAACGGGGGTGGGGTAAGCATCCCTGGTGTCGTTAGATGACAGGGCGAGCATTCCTGTCTCTCCCACCTGCTGCGGAGGACTGCTACTGGAGCTGAGCCCAGCAAAGCACAGAAGTAGCCCAGGGCCTTGCCTCCACCCATGCACAAATATGAAAACAGCCTGCTGGCGCAGGGGTGATAGCACGCGCTGCACCCCAAGGTTCTCAGAGTTTGAGGCAGGAAGATGAGAAGTTTGAGCCCATCCTGGTCAAGTGAACGACTTAGTTGAGACCTTGTCTTAAAATCAAAAACAAAGGCTGGGTTCAATCGTCAGTACCGCAAACAAAACAAAGCAAAAACAAAACCGTAGGATCCCAAGAAGCACACTGCAGCAAAAATAATCTCCGGCCTCACGGCGGCTCGCCTGACGCCCCCTCCCCCGTCACCACCTCACACCTGCGTCTTGTGGTTGACCTTCACAAACACTGGTCCTGCGTCTGTGTCGTAGGCGTGGCCCTGGCTGATGTATCCCGCCCCGGGGCTCCCAAAGGCCCGCAGGGTCGCAGTGCGCAGCTCGGTGCGCAGCAGCTGCTCCATTAGCTCGAGCTCAGGGTACCGGGACTTGGGGACGGCGACAAAGGCAGCGGGTCCTGGGGCGCGGGTCTTGGGGAGTGGGAACAGTGACAGGGCCGCAGGAGCGCGGGGTGCAGAGACAGGGACCGAGGCGGCTGTTGGACCCAGGGGCGGCCCTCGGGTGCGCGCTCCCGGTGCGCGCTCCACTGACGCGCGTGCCTCTGCTGCTGGTGACAGCTGGCCCCGTCCACAGAGCTCCCTAGGCCTGGGCCCGCGTCTGCTCTCCTGCCCCAGCCCTGCTTACCCCGGGGAGTGGGACCCCAACCCTGGTCCCAGCTGCTCTGGAAGAGGAGAGGGAACCACACAGAAGGGGTATCCCCCATGTCCACACGGCCTGCCTGCACGGTCTGGGCACATGTAGACCCACCTCACACACCACTCGCAGAGCCATGGGGACATGGATTTAGACAGCCCTGCTCTTTACCCACACTTCTCAGCACAGGATTTAGCGGGGGCCTTAGCTTCCTCTGGGAAGCCTGGGGCCTGACTAGGTTCCCACACACTCCAGGCAAGGCTGGGACTTAGGGGCAGCGTCAACGACAGCGCTGACCACGCGCTTGTGTCTATGAGAGATAGTGGTGGCTCTGGGGACTGTGACAGCAGAGACCAATCCCACCCAGGGTGGGGTGCTGGCCACAGAGAAACTGGCTTCAAGACACATGGACGGCGTCCAGGGGCACCTGCACGCGCGCAGTGGCACGGACATCCCATCCCCCATCTTCATGATGCAAGAGCGAGCCCAGGGAAAGAGATCAGGGTTAAAGCACACTTACTTACTGAGGGTTTTCTGCCGTTTGTTTTGTTTTATTTGGTTTGTGTGTGTGTGTGTGTGTGTGTGTGTGTAGTACACAGGCTGAACCCAGAGCCCTTGGACCCAAGCCCTTGTCCCCGAAAATAAGCCCTAGCATAATTTTCTTTGGGGATGTTCAAATACAAGTCCCAGCCAAAACAAAGCTGGGACTTTGTAAGACCACCAGCCAGACAGGCGTATTTAATACATCTGTTGCAACACATGATGGGCATACTAAATTCTAAAATAATAAATAATATTCTTAACATGGATACCTAAATACTGAGAAAGTAAATTATCATTAAGGCATTGTGAATACACAGGTGGGAGCCTTTTTGAACAGACAACTGGAAATGTCTTGGGGAGGTATTTCAGGTGTGGCTGCCATCAGGGTCATTTCAGGAAGGAACCTCTCCCCACCCCAGGGTCCTCACAGGCTAGGACAGTCCACAGTGAACCAGAACAGAGTGCCAATGCAGAGCTGGATGGGTCAGACATACAAGGCAGGCAAAGGACAGGAAGTCTTTTATTGTGGAGCTGAGAACTGTGACCACTCAGACAGCACTGTCCCATGGTGAGTCTCCAGTACGGTAATTCACAGTGTGTAGATTCTAACACTGTTTGGAAAGATCTGTGGCACTGGCCTATAATTCCAGCTACTCAGGAGGCTGAGGCAGGAGAACTTCAAATTTGAGGGCAGCCTGAGCAGTGGAGCGACTTAGCAAGACCCTGTCTCAAAGTATCTTAGAAACACGATGTAATGAGTAAACCCAGGGGCAAAGTCGAGAAACCGGGAAAGGGAAGGGGCAGGTACGGTGGAGGAGAGGAGCTGCAGGGTGGAGGTGACCACCCATTCTTCTCAGGCCCAGCCCTATCCTGCTCCTCCCAGGGCAGGCCTTCTGTGTGGTTGGGGGAGGAGGAAGGGAGGTGGATTGGGGTGTCTGCTCTGTAACTCCCCCGTCAGCAAGCCCGTCTTGGGGCTCACCCTCCACTGAGGCCCAGCCTGAGCCAGGTGCTGCGCCATCTCAGTGGTCTCCTCACACCGTCCACACTGTGTCCAGCCCCTGAGGACCGCTCTACTGCTGGATCACAGCCACGCACTCCCCAGGCCTTGTGCTGGGACTGCAGACAGCCTGGGGAGGGGACTGGATGTGAACATAAAGGAAGGACAGGCTCTTCTGTTTAAGACAGCAAAGCATACGTTGTAGGTCCACTTGCTCTAAAATTCAAAATTAAAAGCTTTAGGGTGTAAGGCTGGACCTCAATTATCTAACACCTTCCTTCTGTAGCAGTTGGTATCCTGACCATGTCTGGCCTGTCATGTCAGATAACAGCGAGTTTCTTAAAATCATATTCCTACATTTGTAAGAGATAAACAAAATGTCACAACCCACAGACGAGACCTGAGGGTTCTGGACGGGCACCTGGGCAGCAGCCAACTCCTGGACTTGGTGTCCTAGTACCATGGCTGCCCTGAGCAGAAAAAGCCCTTCTGGCTCCTCCTTCCCAGGTTGTCACACCTTTGGTGACACCATGTCACTCGGCCAGGCCACAGGCAGGTTGGTGTCAGGACACATCACGAGAGTGCCCCTTGAAATCACACAGCCAAAGCAAGCATCTTCTCTCCCAGGCTGGCCCAGCTAGAACCATCCCCCCTCTGGGGAGAGCTGGCACTCAGGTGGGGTGTGCCTCTAGGATGAACACGCGTACAGAAGCAATGCTAGACAGGCAGGGATGTATGGGCCTAAAGCTTAGGATTCTGGTAACTGAAAAACAATTACATTTGTTATGTGTAAATACAAAATCAGGTTAAAAATAGGTATCGCAGAATAAGCCACTGCAATGAATGACAAAGCTTAAAAAATATCACATTATCAAAAATATCACATTATCACAAAACCTGAGGCACAGAAGCCAGTTTATCAGCTAAGCGCCTGCCACATCTGGGACGCTTTCTCCCTGTATCTCCTTACCCACGGCCTGCCCTAAGCTAGCTGTCCACACAGTCTGGGAAAAGAAAGCTGCTTCCTATAGAAGACCCAAACCTCGGTCCTAGAATAGTTTAGGAGCACTCCAGCCTCCACTGTGCCAACACATAGTAGTATCCACGGTCCTGGCTGCGAGTCGTGCTTTTAAGAGACAACAGCTGTGCCTGGCATAGTGGCACACATTTATACTCCCAGCCATTTGGGGAGGCTGAGGCAGGAGGATCACAAGTTCAAACCCAGGTGCAAATCAGTTATTTAGAAAGAGCGTGTCTCAAAATAAAAATAAATAAAATGGGCTGGGGACAAACAGCTTAATGCAAAAACCTGGGTCGATTCCCCAGATAAATGCTGAATTATAACATATAGGGAAATACATTGTCTCCGGCATCATTGAAACCACTCAAAGTTTATTCAAAGTTTTAGGCAAAAGAATTTATTAGCATCAATATTCGTGAAATTTCTCTTCAGTGTAACAGAGAGGGAAAGAAAAGATATTGGTCAGTACTCACATCTCGCCAAGGAAGAACTCAGCCAGCTTTAGAAACCTGTACACAATGATGGAGGAGTCAGAGGGGTGACTCTAGGTTCCTAACTGTACACAGCTCACACAGAGGCTGGCAATGGGTCACTCCCAGGACGTTTCTAGACTCACCCGGCCTGCAGCTAGGCCCAGTGGTCAGGTACAAAGGAAAGGGAATGCACTTGGTTTGGGAATTGGTCACTTATAAAAGCTCCTAGCAAGATGGTTTCACATGTGGATTCAGGCTCTGAGATGCCAGGCGGAATCCAGGAGGAGGAAAGAAAAGCAGGGCACTCTGGACACTGTGTACCCTGCAGCCACGCCTGGCTCCATCCCCAGGCCTCACAGCCCCTGTGTTCACATCAGTGTGGCCTCACCCTAACAGCGTAGGACCTCAGGATGACACTGCCTGTCCTGAGACATCTGCTCCCCACGGGGCTTGAGGAAGGCCTGAGTGATCTGAATGACAAAAGGACATGTTTCTGAGGTTGGAGAGAGAGCAATAAGAGGTCCCCAACCAGACCAGACCAGACCAGACCCGAACTTGGGAGACATGGAGACATCGCCCTCCACGGAGAGCAGCTCATTTGACGAGATTCCTCATGATGTTTAGGGAGGATCCTCTGTAGCCGGATCCAAAATGATTCCAGTGGTTCAGATAGTGAAAGAGCTGATACAACTGCAGGCGCTTCTCAAAGCCTGGGGCCTTAGGGATCCTGCTGTGGTAGGCAGAGTAAAAGGAACTGCTGAAGCCCCCAAACATGCCAGCTATCGCCAGTTCATACTCAGAGTGGCCGTAGAACGAGGCTGGGTCGAAAATGATGGGCCCGGAGGCGTCTTCTGCTACATTCCCTCCCCAGAGGTCTCCGTGCAGTAAGGCAGGGACGACCTCCAGATCTCGGAACAGGCTGGGGATCTTCAACTGTGGGAGGAGGACACAGCCTTAGCACATTGGTGGCGCATGCTGGGGACCCAGATATCACCCGACTGCTGCCCCAGTACCCAAGCCACAGCATCACACCAGGAGTGCCTGGCTCACTGGCGGGCACCACCAGAACAGACTCAAGAGGTGGCACACCTGCCTCGGCAGCTCCCCTACATCAGGACCAAGTGGGACATGCTGCCAACTCCTGGCTGCCAAGCAGGGCCCTGCTCACCTGCAGAGCAGACCACAGCTGGAGGGCCTCTCGGTCTCCAGAGCCCCTCTCCACCATGTCTATCTGGGGCTGAATGCGCTGCTGAGCATAGAACTCGACCCAGTCCTTCTGCCAGTCATTCACCTGCACAGCACAGCAAAGGAGAAGGCAGGACATGTAGACGTGAATGCCCAGAAGCAGCCCAAGTGGAAACGGCTTTGGGGGCGGCATGTGGAAGGCGTAGTGGCCACTGGAAGCTGAAGAGAGTATGCTGACCAGGAAGCACTAAGGGGTTTTAAGGACAGGCTAAGACCTGAGGTCTTCTTCCAGGAGTAGTGGGAAGCAGGGACTCCACAGGGGCCGCTCTGTAGCCTCGTGAGACTGAAGAGCACTGGAACATTTCCATCACATTCACACTGATGGAGGCCACCTGATCTCCCCTGGTCCACAGCCCACTGCTGACCATTTGCCTGGCCACAGATAGCCCCTCTTCCACAAAATGGTAACAGCATGGGACTCCTGTTCAAAAAGACTCCCAAATTGGGCGTGGTGACACATGCCTGTAATCCTCTGGGAGGCTGAGGCAGGAGGATGACAAATTTAAGCCCAGCTTCGGCAACTTAGCAAGATCATATCTCAATTTTTTTTTTAAAAAAGGAAGGACTGGGAATATAGCTTTGTAGCACCAAAACAAAACAACAACAAAAAAAACAACTCCCAAGGATTCAGCTACTCAGGAGCCTGAGGCAAAAAGACCACAAGTTTCAGGCTAGTCTGGGAAACTCAGTGAAACCTTGTCTCAAAATAAAATTTTAGAAAGGGCTGTTTAGTAGTTGTACCTTAGTATTTATAGATACAAAATCTGAGGGTGCTCAAATGATTACAAAAAGTGATGGGGCTGGGGATTCAGCGGCATAAGCGCCTGCCTTGTAAGCAGGCAGTCGTTGAGTTCAATCCCTGGTACCCATAAAAACGAGAAAGACAAAAAAAAAGTGACATAAAATTTGCATATAATTGACATACATCTTCCTATACATTCCTTTGTTCTCTAAGTCATCTCTAAATTGCCTCTAAGGCCTAACGTAAATGTTATGTAAATAGTTGTTGCACTGCTGAAAAAATAACTCCAACAAAAAACGTGCATATAGGGGCTGGGGGTTTAGCTCAGTGGCATAAGCGCCTGCCTTGAAAGCAGGCAGTCGTGAGTTCGATCCCCGGGAGGGATAAAAAAGGAAAAAGACAAAAAAAAGTGCATATGTTCAGTACAGTGTTCTGACAAATATTTTCAATCTGCAGTTGGTTGAATCTGCATATGCAGGCTATATATATATATATATATACTTTTTTTTAGTATAACATAAAATGGTTTATTAGGGGAAAGAGATGAAAAAGAAAGAGGACAGACAGCTACCATCAGGTAGCAGGGGGTTTCAGAGCTGAAAGCCCCAGGTTACATATAAAAATGAAACATTTTTAAAATTTTTAAACTTCTGTTGTTTTGATTTTGTTTTTTGAGACAGTGTCTCACTGGCTTTGCTTTGAACTCACTACCTTAGCCCAAGTAGGCCTCAAACACATAGTAATCTTCCTATCTCAGTCTCTCAAGGGCTGGGATTACAGGCATGTGCCACCATACCTGGCTAAATTTGCTAATTTTTAAAGTGGGCATAATGGCTCCTACCTGTAATTCCAACTACCCAGAACCGAGGCATACAGAGTTGCAAGGGTAGCCTTGGCAATTTAGTGAGTGCCTGTCTTTAAAAAAAAAAAAAAAAAAAATCAACCCACCTAAATCCAGCATCCTAACTCGTCCTTCTTCACTTCTTCACATGTAAGATTGGTAAACTTCCTATCACCTTAAAATGTGGCAAAGAAAACAAAGGGTGCAAAGCTTTCACAGAATTGCCAGGCCTATAATCGGGAGACAGAAGCAAAAGGATTGTCACAGATCTGAGGCCATCACAGGCTACACTGTGAGCTCAAGGCCAGCTTGGACTACATTAGCAAGGCCCTGTCTCAAAAACAAAACAAAAAAAGATCTCCTAGGAAAAGGCTCCCTGCCGGGGATGGTGGCACAGGCCTGCAATCCCAGCATTTGGGAGGCTGAGGCAGGAGGATTGTTTCAAGTTCGCGACCAGTCTGGGGTACAAAGTGAGCTCAAGGTCAGCCTGAACTGCACAGTGAGACCCTGATTCAAAAAGACCAAAAAAAAAAAAAAAAAAAAAAGAGGCAGCAAAAAGGCTCCCTGCATGCCCCCTGTGTCTGAACAGCTGGCCTGAGGGTGCTGTGTCACTTACCTGAGGGAGGTATCCACAGCAGGTCACCACATCAAACCCGAACTGGTCTACAAAGGGTTGGTCTGCCTGCCCTGCTCCTCTCCCTCGAAAGCAAAAGGCAAAAGAAGAGGAGCAGTTAGTGCTTTCACTGCAGGAGACCAGGGGCCCAGCTCTTGAAGCTCAAGCTGCTTAGAGCCTGGGCTCACTGTGTCCTGATCAGCTTGCATGCTCACTCAGACAAGCCAGGACCTCGGTCTCTACTAGCCCTCAGGTCACACAGACTTAGTACAAGGATACCAGCCTTCCCTACAGTGGAACCAGAGAATTATGGGGGAAAGGAGGTAGACAACAGTGAATTAAAAAAAAAAAAAATGAATGATGTTCTTTACATAGGAAAAAAATCTATCAGGAAAGGATAGTTTCCAGTGCCAACACTGTGGTATTTTTGAGAGAGAAACTACTGGGCCACAAAATGGTCTCAACCCTGTGCAGCTCTCCAGACTGAAAGGAAATCCAGGTGCACGGAACTTCAGGGCACGTGGTAGGAACAGGAATGGCATCCTGATGGGACCTGGCAGGAGACCCTCCTACTGGGCTTACAGCCTGCTACACGCAACCACCCTGATCATCAGCCACCCTGTCCAGGGGAGTCAGCACACAGGCTGCACATGGATTAAACACCAGAGAAGACCTCAGTATTAACACCACACCAAGCTCTAGAGCACGCAGAGCGGGGTCTTGTCATTCTGAGCCTCAAGAAAAAGACTAGAAGAAAGAAAAATAGAAGAAAAGAAAAGATAATGTGTTTAAAGGACTTTGGCTTTTTGTTTTGTTTTGAGGTGAGGTCTCATTATGTAGTGCAGGTTGGTCTTGAACTCACTTATATAGCCCAGGCTGGCTTTGAACTCAGGGCAATCCTCCTGCCTCAGTCTCCCAAGTGCTGGGATTACAGGAGGGTGCTAGCATACCCTGGCTAAGAACTTTGTATAGGAAGCCAAAAACCTAACTGGATTCCCTTCTGGACAAAGGTAAAAGTAATAGTAACACTGTAAAGTTTTGAGTCCACTAAATATTTCCTATCTCCTAAATGGTTTATAAAACTACACTAACTTGGCCAGGTGTGGTAGTGCATGCCTATAATCCCAGCACTGGGGAGGCTGAGGCATGAGGGTTGTGAGTTCAAGACCAGCCTGGGCTACAAAGTGAGCTCAAGGCCAGCCTGAACTGCATAGTGAGACCCTATCTCAAAAAGACCAAAAAACAAACAAACAAAACACATAGCTAACTGCCCTCAGTTGCTCACAATGTAGCAGAAGATGCCCCACCTCCCAGCCAGTACACTGCAGTCTATTAGCTGCCCAGGTAATAGTTCCAGCTACAGTGCCTGTTACTTTTGTTTCTTAGAAACGGCTGGTCACTGTGATGCACAGTGTAAGAACCAAGCCCTAACTGACAAGCCACCCTGCCTCTGAACTTCCTGCTTGCCTATCTCATATAAGCCCTAGTCTACGAGAGATTGCAGCCTGACATTTTGAGGAACAACTGATTCCTAGTCAGTACCCATCCGATGTTAAATAAATCTGCCTCCAAATCCTGGGTGTCATTTCAGTATTTCTGCAACAACAGGACAGACATCTAGCCTTAGGGCTGATTCCCTGGCTTGGCATCTGTACAGATCTGACTCTTGCAGGAAGCAGCAGAACACAAGCCCTGAGCCTGTCTTGCTGTGTGTTGTCCTCAGGGCCCCCTCAGTCCCTCACCCACTGTGCCAGTCTCCTTCTGGAGCGTCTGTCCCAGCTTCTGGTTGTGAAGGTGCAGGTCCGCAAGCTGCTCCCCAAGCTTTGCAGCATGACTGTGAACCCAAAAGACAGCAATTAAACAGATAATACAAGAACTACAGATACACATCTGGGAGGTTGGGGCATGTATACTAGGACACGTGTTCTGGGCATAGAATATTCATTTTCTCAGAGCCAGAGGGAGATGAGGGGTCCTCCTTGATCCTCATATCACCCCGTACTGATCAAAACCAGGGCACCATACCACTGAGCTATATCCCTATCCCTTCTTATTTTATTATTTTGAGATAGCGTTTCACTAAGTTGACTAGGCAGGACTCACACTTGTAATCCTCCTGATTCAGCCTCCCTCAGTGCTGGGATTACAGTGTATACTACTACACCCAGCTTCTCTTTGGCCTCAGACATGCAGAGTACAAACCACTCACTTGGCAGAATCTGTCACGTGTACAGACATGGCTTCTTTACATCACATCACACTCCTCAAAATGACACCCCCAAGTACAAGCTTTGGAGTAGAAGAGCCACACAGAGGAAGACACAGCAGAGGACGGAATGGGGACAGACCTGCTCAGGTACCGCATGTCCAGGTGCTCCATCACCAGCACACTGCCGCCTCCCGGGGCATCCAGGACTTTGATGGGCCTGGGTACTTTTACTGTGCCTGTTTTCAGAATGGCAGCTAAACTTGCCATTTCTCCTTCAAACATCCTTCTGGCCTGTGAGAAAAAATAATGGAAGAGGAGGAGGAGGGGAGCAGAGAGGGACAGGAGGTCATTCTGGAAAGGTTCTATGTAGACATGTTTTTTTCTGGCATAATAAGGTCAAGCCAAGAATACTGGACTCAGGACTCAACAGGCACAGACAGTTTTCCAAGAAGTCGGTAGTACTGGCATGGAAGTGCTGATGCTGGGTAGAAAAAAGGCTTGCAGTCCAGTGCTAGAGCGTCTCTAGTCGAGGTTGAACTCAAAGGTTCCCCAGAGAACAAGGTAGAAGGCTGTAAATATTCCCCCAAGTGCCTGGTACAGAGCTGGACTTATGTGGGGTGTTCTTGTATTCTCTCTCTCTCTCTTTCAGTATCATTCCCTCCACCCCCATCCTCACATAACACTGCAACCCCAATTCTGTTTCGCAGACATGACACAGGCTTTGCCTGAACCCTTGGATGCACTGGCTCTCCACATGCACAGGCCAGGAACCTGGACTCGCTCTCATCTAAAAGGACTGCCGATTCTGTGCCACACACTACCTGACACTGGAAACTATCTCATCTCAATCATTTCCATCCCTGTCCCAAGACTGCAGTGACTCTGTCCACTGGGTCGCCCTCCTCCCCATATGGCAATGGGCCCTCAAAGGCCAACCTGACGGTGGACACACCCACTGCAACCCTTTCCCCTTCATGATTTCCACTCATATGTGGGGCCACTGCCAAGACCCTACCCCTACACACACGTGTACATACACACATACACACACACACGTATGCACACACATGTGCATGCACACTTCTTATGCCTATTTAGTTTCTAGTTCCTCGAGGTCTTTCAACTTCTGCAGCCCTAAACAACCCCCCCGCCCCGCCCCGTGCATGGGCATTTTTGCTTGCAGCACTATTCACCTGTCTCCTGCCATGCCCACTCTTTTCAGCCATGCTTCAAATGTAAGCCCAACATCAATTTTCCAAAAAAGACATCTTCCCTCACTTTCCACACTAGGTAATTCTCTCTCTCTCTTTCTCCCCCTCCCTCCCTCCCACCCTCTCTCCCTCCCTTCCCTTCTCCCTGTCTCATGTTTTGTTTTGTTTTGTTTTGTTTGAGACAAGATCAGACTATGCCTTTCAAGTTGGGCTTGAACTCACTACGTAGCCCAGGCTGGCCTCTAAATTGCGGCGATCCTCCTGCCTCAGCATCCTATATGATGGGATTACAGATGTGACACACGGCCAATCACTATCCTCCCTTTTAAAACAGTTTTTTTAAAAAATTCACTGATGTGCAGAAAAACATAGCTGGTAGCTGGTCAATGCCCAGCTCGACAAATTCTCCCAGCGTAATGAATAGGCCAGAGCAGAAGTCTAGATGTCACAGAGGCCTCCCACCCACGGCCTCTCCCGCTCCTCAGAGGCAGTCTCTTCCCTCTGTTTGGCCAGCCTGGTCATTCTACACAGACTCCTCTGTTCCCAGGGTCTGGCTTCTTCACTGTGCATGGCATTTATTAGGTCAGTACACTCTCTCAGGTCCAGGGCCCCACACTATGAAAATTCCAAGGTACAGGCATCCATTCTGCTAGCAATGGGCAATTAGGCTTTTAAGGTCAGGACCATATGAATGCTGCCACTACACGCATTTTCTGTTTATTTTCATAGTTCTTAACTCTGTGATCTTGGGCAAGTTATTTAAGCTTTCTATCCTCAATTTTTCCATCTATAAAAAGGAGTTAATATTAAATTAATTAACTAATTAATTTTTTCTATGTCTCTGGGTTTTTTGTTTGTTTGTTTTGTTTTGGTATTGGGAATTGAACTCAGGACCTCTCACTTGCCAAGCCAGCACTGTGCCACCTAGATTATTCCTGGGCCCTCTGGTTTTTTTTTTTTTTTTTTTTTTTGAGACAGGGTCCCATCACATAGTCCATCGTGAACTCACAGTGATCCTCCTGCCTCACCTTCCCAAGTACTGGAATTATAGGCAAGAGCTACTATGCCTGACCAATGCTAAACTACATACATTTGTTGTCTCAATTAACTGAGTCAGCGTATAACACATATTCCACTCTAAATACTTTAAAAATATATAAATATTATTACTACCTTAGAGAGCTGGAGTTGAAGAGAAGGCAAGGGCTGCTTTCTTCTTCTTTTAAGTATTTTTTGCTTTTTGTGGTTGTTTTTTGAGACAGTGTCTCACTCTGTAGTTCAGACTGGCTTTGAACTCACTACCGCTCAGGTTGACCTCAAACTCTGAGGTACCCTCCTGCCTCAGCCTCTGGAGTGCTGGCATTACAGGCATCCGCCACCATGACTAAGGGCTGCTTTCTCAAGCACAGTTTTCAGAGTATTCTCTTTAGAAGTTAAAGGGGGAAAAAATGGGACTGGCTATACTCTTACTAGGATAACAGTTGTGGAGACTAAAATAAGAATTTTTTTTTTTTTTTTGGCTTTTATACGTTTTTATCGGTACCAGGGATCGAACTCACGACTGCCTGCTTTCAAAGCAGGTGCTTATGCCGCTGAGCTAAATCCCCAGCCCCTAAAATAAGAATTTTATAAAATAAGTATTTTATAAAATAAGTATTTTATAAAATAAGTATTTTATAAAATGGTAGTACATTTATAAAAGGTGCACAACACCTATAATCTCAACTCTGGGAAACTGAGGCAGGATGATAGTACCAGTGCAACCTTGGCAACTTAAGAGACTTACCAAGACCTTGCCTCAAAACATAAAACAAGGAGCTTAGGATGTGTGAAGTCCTTGGGTTTGATCAATCCCCAGTACCATAAAACAAAACACAACACAACGCAAAACAGGGAGAGGTGAAAAGCAAAGGACCCATGAACCCAGCTACTGGTCAAGGCTCCTTACAAAAATATTCAGTGCTACATTGCCTAAAGTTTCCAACCAAGCTAGGAGCACCATTCCTCATGATTATTATATGTAAAAGTGAAATCAAGTATCAGTTGGGAAACAGTGTTATAAAAGATCTAAGGGAGAAATACATGAGAAAACCAATTATACAAATGTACAAGGGCTGCCTTAATTCCAGCACTTGGGAGGCTGACTCAGGGGGATCACTATGAGTTTGAGGCCACCCTGTGTTACAGTGAGTTCAAGCCTAGCATGAACTACATAGTGAGACCCTGCCAAAGAAAGAAAGAAGACAGAAAAAAAAAAAAAAAAAAAAAAAAGAGAGAGCTAGGAGGATTTAGTTCAGTGGCATAAGCACCTGCCTGGGAAAAACGAGGTTGTGAGTTTGATCTCTGGTACCAAAAACAAACAAAAAGTTAGCTATACTATTAGTATAGCTATACTATTAGCTATACTATTAGTATCTTAGTTCATTGAAAAGGAAGGTTTGTGCTAGAATCGACTGGATAATTTTTTATGCCCATATTTTATACTGAGTAACTACTTTGAAGATGACAATATGCAAAATGTATTAACTATTTTATTCTATTATTTTGTTATGAAATTGTCTTACTTTTTTCAATAAAGTAAAAAAAAAAAAAAAAGGAAGGAAGGAAAGGAAAGCATGCAAGGGGGAGATAAAAATGATCAAAAGGAAAAACAACTTAGATCACATCAACTCCAGGTGGGGGTAAGAAAGAAATTGCACTCCAGTCTGGGAGTCTGAGGCAGAAGGATCTGAAGCTCCACCCAGGCACTGTGGTGGGACCTTGTCTCAAAATTAAAAATTAAAAAGGGACTGGAAATATAGCTTAGTACAAAGGCATTGGGTTCAATCCCCAGTACCACAAAGAGGAAAAGAAAAGCATCATAGATGGCAATTTTTTTTTTCATAGATGGCACTTTAATCCTCTGAAAATACCAGTTTCCCCCGTACTCCTTGCCACGTTTTGAATGACTGCAAATGCCAGAGAAGATGTAAATACAGAGCTATGTAAGGGGTTGATGCCTCTTAAAGGAAGCGCAAAACCAGACCAAGGCACACAGCTGAGGAGGCTGACCACTGCCCTGAGAGCGCTGGTGCTCTTGGACACATCTCTAAGAGTAACTGCAAGGACAAACAGGTGACAGACTGCTGTAAGAGAAATGTGGAGAATCTTTCTAGATTAGCATTGGAGGCCGGTCCTATGGCCTTGAAGCGAGATTACCCACATCGCGGGAAGGCAGGATTTCTTTCTGGAAAGAAAATTACACTTTTCAACAGGGATTGGGAATGTGGCTCAGTAACAGAATTCTTGCCTTGCATGCACAAGGCCCTGAGTTTGATTCCCACAAAAAGAAAAAGAAAAAGAGAAAGAGAAAGAAAAAGAAAACGACGATCGCTAAAATACTTCCTAAAGAAAGGATAAACGCACAGAAAGGACGAGTCCCATCTGCGAAGGCCTCGGCCGCTCCGGGGCCTTCGGGGCTTCCAGCAAAGCACCAGAGTGACCCGGCCACCCCTGGCAAAGGTGGGAGCCGGCAAACCAGGGTCCAAAGGGATTTCTCACAATAAAATTAGCCTCCGCGGCCCAAATGGAGGCGAGGGCAAGACTGCGGGCCCTGGCTGACAGTCAGACCCAGCACCGGACCGCGAACCCGGACCCAAACACTGACCCGGGCCGCACGCGAGCAGCCCGCCGCGGCCCTACCTCGGTCTTGGAGTTCGCTTTCACAAACAGTCGACCTTGGTCCGTGTCGTAACTCTGGCCCTGGTTGATGCAACCGCCTCCCGAGTGACCCGTGGCCTTGACCGAGCGGCAGCCCAGCTCCCGCCTCAGCAGCTCCTCCATGTTCGCGCCACGGTCCAGAGCCTCAAACCTGCGGGACAAGACAGAGCTAGAGTCGCCGCCGGACGGAAGTGGAAGCGCACGGAGACGGGCGATTGGTTGACCAGAGGAAAGGGGCGGGACGACAGGACAGGCGCGGGGCGTGGGACGACAGAGTGGGGGCGTGGTAAATTAGGGACAGGCACAGGGATTGGTGAGAGGATGGTATGGGCGGGGCCAGAAGTGGGGCACTGGGAGACGCGAAGTAGGGCAGGGCCACGCTGCCGGCTTTCTTCTGCTCAGACTCCTCCCAAAAGCCCTGACCAGGCGCGGGAGCTGGACACGGGTTGGCCCTCCGTACCCTCTGATCCTTTGCCTGCCACTTGTGCCAGCTGGCGACAACGTGGCCTGTTCCGAGGGTGACACCCTAGGGAAGCTTACCCAGCTGAGAAGTCCGCAGGCCCTACAGGACCTCACCTAGGTTTAGAGTTTCGTTTTGCGCGAGATTATCTGATTAGTGTGGCACCTCCAGACTCCAAGAGTGGACTCCTTCCCCTAATCCCCCGTCGGCAACTCTCAAAAACAACAAGACAGAAAAAAATAGAAAAAGAGAAGCGCTTTATTTTAGCTGGTACCCAACGGTGTCAATCAGGCAGATGCTAGCCTGAGCACCCTGAACGAAGGAGTCTGAAATTTTTGAAGGCAAAAACTGCAAAGCGAGGGGGATTGTTTGTGCCGGTGGGTGTCCTTTGGAAAGTTCTCAAGCATAGTTTTGAGTACAGCTTGACTTTTCACGTACGTAATATGCTTTTAACATAAGTATAAGGCTGTGGTTTTTTTGTGGTGGGTCATTTCTTGGAACAGATGTCTCCATCAGGACAAACAATTCTGTCATCTTTTATGGAGCGGTTGGGGTGGGGGGGAATCGGCGCTTTACAGAACAGCAAGGTGGAGAAGGGAACTAGTTAGCAGGTTACAACATTCCCCACTGATTTTAAGGCTATAAACCAAATCTTTGGCTTATTGTTTAAAAAGGAACCATTTCATATCCTTGTGACTTCAAGACCATCAACTTGATAGTTTGGACTCGTTCCTTGATATATGTTATTAACCTGTTAATTATGCAGGGCCCTATGGTTGCTAATATTAATATTAATATCAGTGGGCCTATGGCTAGTTAGCCATGGAGAAAAGGAGAATAATCTCGCATACCAGTTTTGTCTTGCATTTCGAGCTTTCTCTCTTTCTTGGAGACTCTTTTTTAGTTCTGCAAATTTTGTCTAATTACTCCTGAATGGTTTGTATATAGGTTTCTCCAAGGGCCAGACAGGGACTCCCTTCTTTTAGGAAGAGGAGGTCTAGCCCCTGCCTATTTTGGAGTACCATTTCAGCTAATGAACCCAGAGAATCTTCCAGTTTTTCAATTGAATCTCTCAACCATTGTAAATCTTGGTCTATGAGACTGGACAGCTTATCATAGTGATGGAGCTCAAGAACCATATTAGAAATTCCAAGTCCCAGGGACCCAGTGACTCCAATTCCAAGGAGCATAGGGACTAGAATCAGGTTGTGTATAACCCTTAAGATTGAGTCAGGTGAAGGCAGGATATGACTTTTGCCTTCGCTGCCTGACTACCAGTATACTTGGGGTAATATATGGACCAATATGTATAATTCAAGTTGGCTGGTGAATACTTCCAGCATAGCACAGGGAGTAAGCCCTGAAGTACAGGCAAACTAGGTGCCATTTGGGGCCGAGAAATGAGCATTGGCTTGGTGAGAGCTGTTAGAAATTTTGTGTGATACAGATAGGTTGCAAATAAGCTATAAGGAGAGCTCTTCCAGGAATAAGCAGCGGAGTACAGACAAGTCCCTGGTTTACCTTGTACATCTCCAAGTGTGACTCTTGGTTTTGCTCCTCCCCAACAATGATACTCATCTTTAGTGGAATTTTGGAGTTGCATGGTCACCAGGTCCCTGTGTAATAAGGGGGCCTAGCCGGTAAGCATAACCGACAGTCAGATGTAAGGTTGGGGTTGCTAAGGTTAAGAAACTGGAAGGCAATATCTAAGGATAGGAAGGGTTCAGGGTCAGAGGGGAGAGGGCCAAAAGTAATCTGGACAGTAGCAGGCAAAGGGGTTGTGGCCATAGGGGTGTTAAGCAATGGATTGGTAGGCTTTTTGGGTGGGGGCTGCGGTGCCAGAGGCCCGATGGGTCAAAATGGCCCCACCTGTGAGCCAGGAATGAACTGGATAGTAAAAATATTTCCTGGGTTATATCCACTTGTCCACATTCTGATAATGCATCCCTGATTTCCACATTTGGCCAGTCAGAAACTTCATAGTAAAAGTCATGACATTACACTGATTTAAAGAACACTCTGAGGGGGTAGACCTAGCAAGTGTGAGATATTTGTCGGCATCTGGACTATCCCAGTTGGAAATGGTTTCACAGCCCCAGTATGGGCAAAAGAATTCACTCTCTGGATTCTTTGAGCAATAATCCTTGAAATATTTGACTTGTCTTTCTGGCCAGTCCACTATTGAATTTGCATGAGGGCATAGATACCAAGGTGTAGACTGTAAAGTCTTTTGATTACTTAAAGTTCCACATATCTCATATTTGGTTCCCTTTGGTTTACTATATGGCCTGAGATGAGGAGACCTCTTTACTCTTTGGGCGGTGAGGTCTCTACCGAGCAGAACACAAAGGTCTAATGATATAATCCCATGGACCATTGTATTTGAGGCTAACTTTCTTCCTGTAAAACAGTCAGTAATGACCTATGTCCCATAATTTGGGTTATGGTTTACCCCTAATGAGAAAGTTATGAAAATAAAACAGGTTGCAATTTGAGTCATCATAGCCAGAACAATTAAGGACATTTGGTTAATTTTAACTTTAGAGGGTTTTTTGTTTTGTTTTGTTTTGTTTTTTTCCTTTTTATCGGTACCGGGGATCGAACTCATGACTGTATACTTGCAAGGCAGGCGCTTATGCCGCTGAGCTAAATTCTCAGCCCCAGTTACCAGTCCTTTGTAGAGTCCATTTATCTTGGGGTGGCTCGATGTCCTTTTCATCAGTGGCCTGAATCACTTTGATGTGGGAATGATGAATCCAAGGGGTCTTACCAGTCACTTTCACTGCAGTGGGGGTGCTAAGCACCACTGTGAAAGGTCCCTCCCAGCGAGGCTCGAGAGACTCTTGATGGTGACGCCTGATGAGGACAAGTGCCCCTGGCTCAGCTGCAGGTTCAGAGTCTTTGGGAAGCTTGGAGCTCACTGGCATGTGTTTTAATTTAAACAGGTGGTGGATTAAGGGCAGAACCGGCTGGAGTACCTGAAGGGACTTAATAAGATCTTGGTTAGTTAAATCTGCCAGTTTTTCTTCAGAGATCTTAGGAATGAGTAGCGGAGGTCTCCCATAGAGTGCCTCAAAAGGTGACACTCTGGCCACATAAAGGGTACAGCAGGTACGTAGGAGGGCAAATGGAAGGAGACTTACCCAATTTTCGCCAGTCTCTAGAGACAATTTGGTTATCATAGTCTTTAAAGTTTGATTCATCTTCTCTACTTGTCCTGAACTTTGAGGTCAGTCCGCGCAATGGAGTTTCCAATTAATCTGTAATGCCTGTGTCAATTTTTGAGTTATCTGGGCTATAAAAGCCGAACTGTCGTCAGACCCCATAGATAAGGGCAGGCTAAATCGTGGAATAATCTCGTAAAGGAGCTTTTTTACTACAATGAGAGCTGATTCTATCTTGGTTGGAAAGGCTTCTACCCAACTAATAAAGGTGTCAACCATTACCAAGAGATATTTATGCCCCTGCAGTCCAGGTTTTTTCATGTCAGTAAAGTTAATCTCCCAATGTTCTCCTGGGGTGGCTCCGCAGAAACATTTGGTCTCCATGTAAAGTTGTCGTTTGGGATTTACCAGTTGGCACTGAGAGTACTTAAGGCTTGCAGCTTGTGTCAAATTCGTCAGCAGAGGAGTAAAAAATTTCTCCCGAAAAAGTTCTGCAAGCTTTGTTCCTCCCAAGTGGGTGGCTTGGTGGGCTTGTCCAACCAGTTCTCAGTCAAGTGCTTCTGGCAATAAAACTCTTTTGTCTGGTAATTGGTACCAACCCCCAGGGAGATCAGGTTTTGCTTGAAGCTGGGTTGCCAAGTGGAGGTCCTTTTCGGTGTACACAGGTTCGGACAAGGTTGGGGGCATCAGCAATAGGGCAAGCACAGTCTCAGTCCCCACTGATTTTAAGGCAGCCTCCTTGGCTGCTGCATCTGCCAAGTTATTTCCCTTTGCCACAGGATTATCTCCTTTCTGGTGGGCCTTACAGTGTATTATGGCCACCTTTTCAGGCAGCCAGATTGCTGCCAGTAAGTCTAGTATCTGAGGAGCATTTTTAATTCGTTGTCCAGCTGAGATTAGTAACCCTCTTTTTTAGTAAATAGCCCCGTGGACATGCGCGGTGGCAAAGGCATATCTGCTATTAGTATAGATGTTTATGTGCTTACGTTGGGCAAGCTTGAGGGCTTCTGTCAGGGCAATAAGCTTGGCTTTTTGTGCTGAGGTGTCAGGATCCAGGCATTGTTTCCATAGAATCTGAGTCTCTGTAGTAACTGCAGCCCCAGCAACTCGCTTACCTTGATGGATATAACTGCTGCCATCAGAGAAATAAGATGGTGCCCCCTCCATGGGTTCATCGGTCAGGTCCAATCGAAGACCCTGAAGGTTATCGATCATTGTGGAACACTCATGGTATGGGGCCATCGGATCTTTATCAGGCAACAGTGTAGCCAGGTTTAAAGCCTCAAAGGGTTTGAAAGAAATAGACTCTGGATCTAGGAGCAGGGCTTGATAATGCATTATTCTAGCATTGGATAGCCATCAGTCCAGAGGGACCCTGATAAGTGTTTCCAATGAGTGGGAGGAAACTATGGTGAGTCTTGGACCAAAAGTGAGCTTTTTAGCTTCTTTTATTAATAATGCCACAGCCGCAATAACTCTCAAGCAGGGAGGCCATCCTGCTGCCACACTGTCAAGTCTCTTGAATAAGTAAGCAACTGGTCTTTGCCATGGCCCCAAGCTCTGGGTGAGGACCCCCTTA